TACATGCATAAAGCACGGGGACATAGGTAGAACCACAACACACACATACTCAAACACTTAGCCAAGTGAATGGGTTACGCATGGCCAGTTTTAATGCGCTATACAGTAGAACCAAAAGACAGACCACACACATCCACACAGGCTCACTGTATCATTTCATGAGACAGGTCATTCTGATGTCACCATCAATATAAATCACGCTGGCTGGATCAGGCTGAGATTTATTGTTGCTTAGCTGCAGCCTGTTCATGGTCAATATACAAGGCCTGCTCTGAAACAGAGGTTAGAGATCAGAGATATGATGTTGTAGAAGTGCCTGGATCTTTTTCTCCTTTCAAATGTACTTTGTCGGTAATTTGTCATAAATTAAATATATGATTATGCTTATATTCTTTCATATTCATTTGTTTGAATTGTAATTATTTTCAAAATAAACTTCTGTTTTGTTCTTTCAGGTCTAAACTGGGTCTTTTTCAGTCAAGAATTAGTTTACAGAAAGCAAGTGTAAAGGTAAGGGAACTCACTCACAAAGACACAAACACTGTAATCCCCTTTCAAGCTAACTCTTTTAAACCATTATACAAAACCCTTTGTCTCTCTAATAAGAACCTTAAAAGACACTCATGTACTTAATTTGAAGCTTAAAGCTCTGGGGCCTCATTTATAAACGGTGCGTACGCTCAAAAGATGGCGTACGCAGTTTCTACGCAATGTTTACGATTTATTAAAAAAAAAGTTGACGGGAAAATGTGCGGTCCTCCACGCAAACTCTGACCCATGCGTACGCACTAAGCACAAAAAACGGGAGAGACGAGAAACTGCGACACCGTTGGCAGAAGGAAGAATGGAGAGAAATATGTGGAAATAATACCATAAATAAAATGTTACCTCATGTATCATATATGAAGAATTAATTTTCACAAATTGATTAAAGCCAATCTTAAAATGATTTAACAAACGCCTGTTTGAGACTCCTCAGTGCACACAAAACATAACTTGGAGAAATAAATAAATATGGAAATGTTATTGATCACCCCTCGATTACGTTCTCTTGTTAAGAAATGTATTCTCATAAATGATGCGGTAAACAGTACAGAATTACTTTAAACTGACGCCGTTTTGCATTTCTATAGGTTGTATAGATACAAGCATGGTTTTATATACTATCATATTTAATCATGTTTTATGCCGTTTGCCAAGACTTGATAAGTCGCTCGTAAAACACAGGAGGTATGGAAACTAAGAACACCATATGTGGTCAATTGTACAGCTAATATAACACAACACATTAGTTGTATTTCCTTTAACTGGTGGATTATGTATATATAGTTGCTGATCGACAGCTGGAACACAAACCACCAAATACAAAAAAATAATTCAGATCCAGTCGTCATGACTCCACTCCGGAGGGATTCCCCGATCATTTCTTACAGTTTCTCATCAAGGGGGTGTCTCCTGTCCCCGGTACAAACACACTGCCTGAGGAAGGTTAGGCATGTGTATTTTATTTGTCATTAACCTTTTTCGGACCACTTATTTATTTATTTTGGTGACGATCCGTCTTCCCACGTCAATCCTACGCAAGGCTTTATAAATGAGGCCCCTGATCTGCTACTGTAATGCAGTAATGCCATATCATCTGCCTCTATCATTTCAGTTGAAAGCCAAGAGAAGTGACTGTAACTCCAAGGCAACACACGCAAGGAACGACTACTTGCTAACGCTAGCTGCTGCCAATGTTCACCATGACCGTTACTATCATACTGATCTACTGCACTGCATACAGGTAATTTCACAAAACTGGATTTAAAGAGTTGAAAGGTTTGAGCGGTGTGAGAGATTATCCACATCCTTGCAATGAATGTGGACATTTTAATTAGATAGAACATTTCTAGTCAGCTGATATTTCAGTTTGTAATGACATTTATTTAACTACAAGTACTGACTTAAGACTATCGCCCGCTGATAATACCCTGAGGGATTTTCCCAGGAAGGGGACACATTTCGTTGGTTCCTAAATTCAAAGGCAGAGGGTACTTTGAATTAAAGCTTCATTTGGAATAAAACGTATTCCTTTTATGAGTTCACAAAGTCAGACTCCCTTTCAGCGTATACTAAGTAGTTGGAGGGAAATAAAGTCATACATGAAAAAGTGATGATTTTGAGGTTCTCAGTCTTCAAAGAGAGTCATGAGTTCTCTGGATTTGTGCTTTGAAAGGGGCTTATGTGAGAAAAAAGAATCCTGCAAAATGAGACATCCTGATGTTTCCTTTTACCGAATGATTGGTAGGCATGAAATTATTTTTCCCACAGAGTTGAATGAACTGAAATAAGGCCAGAGGAACTCTCAAGAAGCTTTGATGAAGTTTGGCCCTTTAAAAAAACTTTAGAAAAGATTACAAAAGTGAATACATTTGCTAAATCAGTGATGTGTACTTTTTTATGTGCAATTCATCTTCTATTTGGAGCTTATAATCAAATCTGACACCATCATGACATGCATCGCTTTTTTTCATCATAGTTGTAGGAAGTAGGTTTCCTGATTTTCTTAATGTACACATTTTATCTGATCAAGTAATCATGTTCTGCAAGTGATTCATTTTCACACAAGGCATATTAGCTGTCACCACTAACAATTATATCATCAGTGGGAGTTTGCTGCTGTATATGTGTGGAAACATCTGGTTCTGCATGACCTTTCTAGCACATGCACATAAACAAAACACTTGAGGATGTTTGACTAAAATATCTCTTGTGGTTTAAGACAAGACACGTGCACATTCACACAGGTTGACAGACTGCTCTATGCATCGAAACACGCCTCAGCTTCTGTGAATAACTTGAGCCGCTGAGTAACAGTGAGGTCATCCTTTTTTAAATGCTGTGTAAACATGTCAATCTGACACACACAATTATGCAGTATTTATATATACACACAGACATCACATGTGGGATGTTTTTGTCTGTATCCTGACATCCATTAGTGATGTCTGACTACTGATTTGGTAGTTAACACACACACAGACACTTAGGGAGTGTTACAGCCCAGTTAGAACAAATAAACACCATCCAATATATAAAGTCATTTCAACATTTGTGAATTTGAAACAAAAAAAACATATCAGTGATGTCTGTTATGCTAAATGGGAATATCGTGAAGAAAGAAAAAACACAGGATAAGGAGACATACACATAAGAGTAACAAGGTGACCCTGGAATTTTGCCGATTTGATTTGTCAGTCTGAACCATAAGCAATTTGTAATATTGATTCTATCTGCTTCTCTCTCTGTTTATTATTTGTTTGCTTTATGTTTTTCCCCCAATGTTGTGTTATTTCTATCCTCAGATGCTCGTCCCTGTCTCCTTGTCTCTCACAAACTCGGCCTTAGGCGTGTTCGAGCATCTATACTACGAGGCCATTCTAAATAATAGATCCTTAGCTCCTTGCGACAGAAGGACAGGACTGCAGGGAAATATGCATGTGCACAAGTACATGCATGCAAACACACAAATAGAACGAGGGGCATTGCTAGAGGGAGTCAATCTGCTCATCCTCTCTCCCTCCTCTTCAGTTTTTACTGTGGTGTGTATAGGTCCTCACCTGAAAGCCGCTGACAACAACACTTCTAACAGGGGGGGGGGGGGGGGGGGGGCAACAATTTGCAAGAAAGTACAAGTTATTTTCACAGTCTTGGCTCCAGAGAGATAAGTGAGAAACACAGTCCAGAAATCAGCACAAATAGATTATGAATAGCAGCCATACAATGAAAATAAAACCAAGACGTTACATCACCCTAAAAGCACAGATTGTCTCCATTTAAGACTGCCATTATATTCAACCTTTAAAATCCTTTCTGTGCTCTTAGTACATTGCATTGCCATGAACACTATTCATCAGACACAGCTTGTGGAGGACATTTTAGAATAGAGACATAGACTTCTAAATGTAAATATTCAGATATGTTACAGATATTCTGACTTTATGGCAGTGACAATTGGTCAGCTCTCTGTGGATCAAGGCATTTCTGTCTTTAATCCCAAGCCATATAGAGGATAATGGGCGGATTGTGATAGATAATAGAGGGGATTTCTAAACATGAGGGCATTGGAGACTTGTAATTAAAAGCCTTGTTTGAATCTTAACTTCATAAATACTGTCTGTGCAGTCTGTGGCTGCAGCACTAACATCTCACACTGAGCTACTGTCCTTGTCAATGCGACAGTGGTAGTGAAAGGGCAGAGGAGGCTCAAACTGCTCCACGTCTCCCTCTGCTGTTGGCTGGCGATGCTCTTACCGACCATCTTTTAAATCCCCTGCTAGACACACACTCACTCTCACAATTAGACTCTCTGCTGCCCTGTCTGGTCCTCTGCGCTGTACTTATTGTTCAGGCTGATGCAGTCATTCAACCCAAAAACAAACACACACTCATACAAAAACACACATACAATGCCCAGGATGGGGACGGGGCTTTTTCTGGAAGCTGACTCACTGGGTTTCAACACTACCATAAAAGGATGGAAGAAGGAGGGGAGGAAGAGAAGAAAGGGGGAGGAGGAAATGAGCAGAGTGATGAGGGAACATTTACAGAGAAGTCAGCCAACAACCCACCCTTAATGACATCATTTCCTTCTCAATTTCCCATTGTTTTATAAGTCTGTGTGTTGTGGATGTGTGTGCAAAGGCTACATTTGTTTGTGGTGTGTGCATATTAAAATAAATGTTTTTATATGTTGGCTCTCTGGGTGAGAAAAAGACAGTTTTAAGGTGATCTTGTAGACTTGGCCTAAAGCATCACTCTGACCAGCAAAGAGTGTGTGCAGTTTTCCGAGAGTGTGAGTTTTTATAGAGTACCTTGGTGGAAGAGCGTAAGCATGTATTTCAAAAGAGGAACCGTGTGTGTGTGTGTGTGTGTGTGTGTGTGTGTGTGTGTGTGGTGTGTGTGTGTGTGTGTGTGTGTGTGTGTGTGTGTGTGTGTGTGTGTGTGTGTGTGTGTGTGTGTGTGTGTGTGTGTGTGTGTGTGTGTGTGTGTGTGTGTGTGTGTGTGTGTGTGTGTGTGTGTGTGTGTGTGTGTGTGTGTGTGTGTGTGTGTGTGTGTGTGTGTGTGGGGGTGGGTGGGTGGGTGTGTGTGTGTCTGCGGTCTCTGTGTGTCTGCGGTCTCTGTCTTTTGTTGAATTGGAATCCGAACCCCTTCACCTCACCCTGCAGCTGTGAGAACGCTGTCCAAAGAACACACACACACACACACACACACACACACTCTTCCATACACTCTTTCTCTCTGTCTGTTTTTCGCTTTTTCATAACTTTTTATATGTTTACTCTTCCCTTCTTCTCCTCTCTGTCCTCTCCAATAACCTCTATCTCTCCTCTCTGTCTGTTTGGCACCGCGGCCTTCCACTTGGCAGCACTATCAAAGCTCCCAATAGAAATGCCGTTAATTTAGAGTGCAAACACCATTAAAAACGTCTTAAAATCGGCACTTTAGTTCCCACCTCTTAATGATTAAAGCTTCTCATTTTCAGTCATTCCTTTGAATTTGCTCTTGAATACATTTAACATTTGAATAACGATCCTTTGAGAAAAACGGTTAAAAGCTTCCGTTGAAGCAGTTGAATAAGGAAATTACATTGGCTTAATCCATTCCTTACTGTAACCTCTGGTCCCTCTCTCTCCTTCCTGTAGGCCTTAGACGGCAGGATCTATGAGCACGTGAAAGACTACCTGGTTGAGCTGAGTCGTACCGAGCTAGAGGCATCGCAAGCCTCTCACAACACCTTCCAGTTCCTGTTGGACAAATCCACCAGGGTGAGTCAGATGTGTGGAACAACACAGACCTTCAGCACTCATGTATAAGTTAGTTGAAATGCAGTTTTTCTGGTCTTAAAACAGATACTGTCGGGAAAAGCTTCTAAACATAAAGTCACATTCTAAGTGATTTCTTTTGTGTAACAAAATGTGTATTTCTCTGGTGAAATTGATGCAACCACATAACATTTTGAGTTCATTCATTATTACTAGGCCCTGTTTTTTCTTAGATTACACAGTAGGTGAAATGTGCCCAGGGTTGGTGGTTGGAAGCGTTGTTCATATACGGTAACTTAATAATGCAGGAAAAGTCAGTATGAAATCAAAACAAATGCCTTGGATATGTGTTTTGTATTCTTGTTTTTTGTTTAAAGGGTGCAATCTACTCCATATACATTTGAATCAATTAATTATAATGAGATTCATTCATTTAAAAACCAAAACACCGCTCTGCAATTTGTTTTCATTAATACAGAATGTGTGCATAAGGCTTGCAGAACAGCTGAGCACAGTGCCTCTCAAAGCACCTGCAGATAGGATGGTGTGTTATTTAACTGGTTTCATACTTTACTGGAGTTGAATTACTTTTTTCTAAAGGAACTTAACTTGTCTGCACTGCTAGCCATGGCAAGCTCTTTGACCAGACATTGATCCCATTAAAAAGCAAATTATCAAACCCAAAATCTTAGTGAATATAAAACACTAAAATGGTGGCTGTAAGAGGTTTGTAGTTCAATCCATCACAAGGCAGGAGAGGCTGTGGTCAGTGAGGATTCTCTGATGTCACAGTGAATAGATCCCAATCTCCCTCTGTCTTTCTCTCAGGTAATACAAGAATACAACCAGCAGTTGTTCATGCAGGAGAACCCAGTGTTTCACAAAGCACACGACTTCCAGTTCCAGCCCAGCGATTGTGACACGGTAAGAAACACAGTTTGTATATGAACCTGTTTTAGACATCAAGATAGTCACTCAATCCCCCCCCATTCATTTCACTCTCAAACACAAAGTTAGTAATTAGCCTCTTGTGTTGACGCATGAGGACGTCTCCTCCCACATGTTCTCTCTCCTCCGATATTATACTTTACATCTCTGGCAAAAGTCCTTAGCTTCTCTTTAGCAGTTGAGTCTCTGAAACAGAATTCATGTATTTTTATTCTTGTACTTTTAGAGAATCCCATTAATAAATCCGGGGCTGAGAGTCTTGCCAAGCGGGAAATCCACGAGCCAAGCCTCTTATCATTCTTATTCTCTAGAGACATCCTTGGCTCTTTTGTTTTCCAGCTTTATGTCTTTATGGTAACTCTTCAGGATGGAGTGGTCCAGTTAGTGTCTGACAGCTCAACAAAAGCATGATTCTGCTGTGTTCTAATATGAATCGTTTTAACAGCAAATGTAATGTTTCCACTGGGAGATTTTCTTTGTAGTCCTATGTTCTTTTCATCATTAACATAAGTTACTTACCCTTTTTTCTTTTATATTAAATGGTTGCTGGACGTTTGAAAATATTTCAAATGGTCGTTTATCGATCTGAAGTCTTTGTTATCAGAATGCAGCAGTGGGCAGGATGCTGTCTCACCCCTCTGGGGGCTTATTAAGTATTTCTGGCTAGAAGAGATGTCTCCCGGTGGACCTTGGTCCTCTATAGCTTTCCTTTTCTCTTGTGCCTGAGTCATTTTGTGCTCTCTTGATTCTCAGCTTCTTTCCCTCTTTCACACTATCACTGTGTTACATTTCCTCCCCTCCCTGACATAAACTGGTAACATTTCTCTAAACAACAATGTGCTTTTCCTTCCCTGTATCCCCCCCAATCCTGTTTAACCTTTGCTAACACTTTTCCCTAACCTTTTTTTCCATTAACCCCTCCTTGTATTTGTGTGTCTGTGTGTTTGCATTGCTGCTCTTGCGTGTGTGTGTGGACGCTTGGCTTTGTGTACCAGACTCTGAGCTCGGTGCCGCAGTTGGTGGACATTGAGCCGTCGCCCGTCAGTGCCATGAGAATGACCCTGGCACAGGTAGTCTTAACTGTTGTTAGCATTCTTCACTCTCATCCCTGACACTATGTTTGACATTTTGCATGCTACTCTTAACATATGTGTATGCAAGACTACAGAGCTACTTAACTCTCCAACCTATTACTGCTGTTTGCTTAAATGCCCGCTACTTTGTATCTAGTACACTTCGTGCTCTGAATAAAATCCGATTTACATTATTTGATTCGACATTTTGTTGAAAACTGATAAAAATCCCAGGACTGTCAATAGCGTCATGCATTCATGTAACCGGTTAGCGTGGGATCATCCCTGTTCTAAAGCACACAGTAGTGTAGACGTTACAGCCTGTCTAGCAGCAACGCAAATACAAGGGAACTAGTTTGTCTGTTTGTCATAGTAAATAACCAAAAATAGACTTTTGCATGCTGCAACGTAACAGCATGGGTGTGACCTCATATGACACAATTAACATTGCTGGTATAAAAATAAAAAATAAACCTGATGAGTATGTGTGAGGTTTTGAATTACTGGTAGGATGCATACACAGTAAAATTGACTCAAATTGAAGAAAATTTTACTCTAAAAATATTACATTTGGTCCCAACCTATATAGAGTAAAATGTACTCTTTGTTCAGAGTTGTATTTTTAGAGTTCATTTTACTCTATTATGTGCTTAGATTTGACTCTGCTTAATGGTTATTTACTCTATGTAGTGTATATTAAAAACAACCCAATCGAACGTAATTTCACTCCAACTAGAAGGTAATTTTACTCCCAATAGAAGGTAATTTTACTCAGAATAGAATAAATGAACCATAATGATCTTTACAATAAAAAAGGTCAATAAACCAAAGTGCTTAAGGAACATGAGTGGGCGTGTGTGAAGCTGACCATTGAGCGGCCCGACCAAGCAAGGAGGCAGAGGCAGAGAGTTCAAATACAACCCGGTGTGGGCATTTATTCCTCTTTGTGGTACATGATACACAGCCTCAATATGACTGTCTCACGTGAACACAGTCACCAGCTACAAGGATCTCACACACACACACTAACAGGAAACCAGAACCTAAATACACACAGGACTATTCAAACCAACAAGACACAGGTGAGGAGGGAGGAGAAACACAGGGCACCAGGTGAACGCAATCACCAGCAACAGACAAGACGGGAGGGGGAACACTTTTCAAACTACAACAGGAAACAGAGACAGACAAACTAAAACATAGACAGATTGTGACAAATATATGCATAAATGACATATAATCACATGCTTCCTGTGCAATGTTTTAGCGTGGAACAAATGAATATACTTCGCCAATAATGAAGCTATATAATCCGTAACAGATGGCCCCAGAGATCACCTCCGTTACAGAGTGGTCATGGTTTAACTCCAATAGAATTGACTCTGCATTTTTGATCGCACTCTAGAAGCTATGAGTAATAAATACACTCCAAAATGATTAAATATCACTATTTCAGAGCAAAATAGTAATTACTCTGGAAAAAATACTCACCAATATTTCCTGTGTAGTCACAGCTTCAGTTGTATCTTGATTGTAGCTTTCCTTCTATGCAACAACACTGTAACTTGTGACTTTTCCAACCTACCCTACCTTATCTATCTTCCATTACCCTAGTCGTTGCTTTTCGATTCATTATGAGACAAGTCAGTCAGTTAGTTAAGCTTTAGAAAATGCCGCTGAGATCCAGATCTGTCTTGTACGAGAGACCTGCAAACAAATTACATAAATCAAGTAGACAATAACACAATTACAATACACAAAACACGGCCATCACCCACACACATAGCCATACTAATTAAAACAATCACAAATATTACTAGAAATACAAGCTAATACGCTTTAAAGTTTTTTAGAGGATTTAGTGTTTCTCACTTCAAGCTGTGTTGCCGTTCTTTTCAGTAGTAAAGTGGATAATAGCGTAAAGCGGTCTTACCTAATTCAGAGTTTGAATGAGGAACTTTTGAAGACATTTCTCCTGTGATCTGGTTCTTAATATGTCATTGTATATAGACGGATGATCCCCCTGCTGCGTGCATATTCTTGATTGTTTGTAAAAAGGAAACCTTTCTATTAGGGAGTAAATAAGGCTAATTATCTTAGTAGCAGTATTTTTACTATACAAGCTTTTATACCCTGCCTTATCCAACTGCTCCATGATATTGAGCAGGGAGCTGTATTTTCTGGATTACTGAATACCGCTGTTATGAAAGTGACTCCACAGCACCGTAAAGCTTTGATACTGTCATCTGTTGCTGAGTAATGCATTCACAACACACAGATGACTTATCAGATACTGTAACCTTTTTGCTGTTGCATCATCTTCTGAAATTTCACGTAATCATCGCCTTCCTGTAGATACATGCCTAAAAGGTTTGGTTGTATGAATTTTGGTTCAAAATAAGGTAATGGTAGACAGCATGACAATATCTGTACAAGTTTATTCTCGTTGTTTGTCTGTGTATATTTTCTTTTTAAAATGACCTTAAGCTTACCCTTGCCATTGCCCACATGTCAAGATACTTGCTAAATCTGAATAGGTGATTCAATGATGTTATAATAATAAGGAAGTGTCTGCATCTGCAAACAGAACTCTATAAACAGAAAATGATCTTTCTACTATACCAAAGGTTGAATAATATTAAAACGTAGGACTAAATATAAATTGGATTAAAGGTGGGGTAGGTAAGTTTGAGAAACCGGCTCGAGATACACTTTTTGTTATATTCCATGGAATGCTCTTAACATCCCGATAGCAATGAATATCTGAAGTGCTTTGACAAAAAATCCATAAAAAAATGTCATCTGTGGAAGCCGTAATACTGTAAAAAGCACGACCAATCATTTTAGCCGGCCCGGCTAAAATAACTGGATGGCCTACCTGCCTGTCAGCCTTCCATCTGTGCACAAACTTATCTCGTGCCCTCATTGGTCATGTGCGCGTTCGTGTGTGTTGGAGGAGGGGCTCTGTAAGGAAGTGGCAGATTTTTTCCTGTTGTGTATTTTCAAATTCTTGCGCACTCGAGCTGGTTTCTCCAAAATTACCTACCCCACCTTTAAGGATTCATATTTCTTTGTTTTTTTAGGATAACACTTTTAATGCATTTTTCTTTTTGCCTTTATTGCGCATAAATAGTCTGAAATGCATTTGCTGTCTTTTCTACTGCAGGTTGTGTAGACACCTTGGAGCCTCTTACTGCTTTTAAATCCATTAAAACAGCTCACATAGAAATACTGCTGCTTTGACTTAAGTGTGATGCCCAACTGTTCAGCGTCAAGTTTTATATTAGTCAAGACAATGGTATGTCGCTGCAAGCTGTGGTGCGGGGGAGATGCTTTTTTAGAAAACAATGGGGGGCTATGACGTGTGATATGATGTCTTAGAGAAGAGTGTTGTAGCTTTGTATAGTGGCAAAAGTTACAACATAGAAAATACATTTTAAACTGAGAGTCTGCGTTTTCAAATGTTCATAAAAGCATACACAGTACTTCCCACTCACACAGACGGTTATACTTTTACACAGTTAATTCTCACCCCTCCATCCCTGTGGTTTCTGAATAACACAGTTGTTGTATACAGTCATCTGAATGACTGTTATTATGACAGGGGAGGTTGTTATAGATGTGCAGCGCTGTGCTTCACATTTCCCTTATCTGGCAGGCTGACAAGTCATATTTTTCTCTGTTATAATATATACAGGGGTTGCTAATGGTTTATCATTGTAACCTTGATCTGATTGTTATTATCTGATGTAGACAAATCAACACAATTAAAATGCAAACAGGCCATTGTAATGTAAGTACATCAAGATATTTAAAAATATGGAAATCATTGTTTTTCTACTGCCCCGAGTCACCTTATGTCCTATTATAAACATAAATATACTGTATATATAACATTTTAAGTTGCCCCCAGACTTTTTAGGGGTATACTGGGCTGCTTATATTGAGGAATATACCTGAAATTCAGAAGGAGGAACCTGAACAAACGTAATTACAGAACAGCCCGTAAAGGTCACATTCAAGGAAATGCAAGAGGTGCAAGACTCAAAGTGTTTTGCATGCCTGTATAAGCAATTATTCAGCAAAGTAGGCGGTAGATGCTGGTAGGCAATTTGAAAAAAAATGCTTATTTACTCTGTTTACTCTATTAACATTAAAGCAATAAGCAATCAAGGCAATAAGTCACTTTGGAGCCGCTGTTCGAGTCTAGCTTTCTGCCTCCCTGCCTTAACTTCCCTTCTTGCCTGACTGTAATTAAGCTGTAAATCTCCCGTGTAATACTCTTCGTTTCACACCTATACTTAGCCAGATTTATGCCTTCTTGTTACTGAAGCGGCACATAATTAATAGATATGATGTGCATGGAAACGTGCAATTAAAATATCCTGTTCCATAGTCTAGCTTGCACACTTTTATTATCAGATTATGGGAACCCCAGCCTCTGAGGTCTAGGAGCAGACATCAGTGACACTGAATGTCCATCCTGAGGCTTAGTTTGTTGTTGTTGGAAGTGACAAATGCTATTTTTTTAAACGTTATAGGCTACAGAAATATGTCACAGAATTGGTCAATAATATATCAATTATAGGAACACATGTCATTTTCAGTAAGTAGAGATAGAAGTTTAGCTCCAGCATGATTTTTTTTATCTGACACAATTTGGATTCACTGATTAATAGGTTACACATGTTAAACGATGGTTTAATAAGGCACTAGGACAACAAATGTACATGCTTGCACACTATAGGGTCATTTTTATTATCAGTTTCTCTAACCCTGGAAGAAAAAACACAAGAACAAATCAGCAGATGGCATTTAGTTTTAAATAAGACATATAGCTATATTATAACTTGTAAAGTTAAAGGACAGAATGGACGTCTTTCCACTTTAATCAAGCAGTTTTTTCACAACTCGTAAGACATATAACCACATCATTTTAGAAATTGTCATGAACATGATCTCTTTGGGTTGTGTGCCTATTCCTACCGTCTACAATTAAAAGACAGAGCTAAAGTGCCCCTTTTTAGACAATCATAATAATGCTATTTTCTTAAAATCTATAATATTTTTCTATAGCATCAAAAATGAATGACAAAATAATCAACAGTAAAGAAAAGTATTATTTATTAAGAATCATTACTAGAAATGTATGTGCTGTAGTTGTTAACTCATTCCCTGCAGTAACATAGATTCAGCGTTAGCTTAGCAAACAAGCCCTTTTCATCAATAACAACATAAAAATGTGGCTAGGGCATATACTATAGTTTCTTAGTCTTTTGTAGCACCATTATTTGTGATAGGGGGGAACCATGCTCTGGCATATTTGTATTTATTTAAACCAATCATAATAGTCTTGAACCGCTCTCAGTACAGGATGCAGGGACGGTGCTCTTAAGAAACAGTTATTCAAAGATAGCATAAGTAGAAGAGGATATGTGGCAAATTGCAGGCTTATACCTACATTCTCCATCCGCTGAGTCATATTTATATTTTCTTACAAAGTATTTTGGTTGAGTGACTACTTAGTTGGTAAATATTTTAAATGCAGCAGCAATTATCATTCAGTCTGCCCATCTGCATGACTGACGTAACAGCATGCGATTGACTTCAGAACTCATCAGGACTGTCAGGGCTGAGTTTGATGATAATTGGACTTGCAGTGACCAAACAACCCACCAACTGTCATCAGATTGTCATTCAAAGGCAGCTACAATTCACATTAGTTTCTGACATCACCTTTTCCAACCTTGCCCTGCCGTCTTTTAACCGGTAAGGAGAGCACAGAGGAAGAAAGAAATACAGACATCTTCCATGTGAAATAAGCACAAAAAAGGGTCATTACTTTAGCAGAAAAAAAGGGCGATCATGATTTATTGCATTACTCATAGTAAGTAAAATGCACAAGATATCATGTATTATGGTTCAGTTGTTGGTATGTGGTGGATTAGTGACAAGGTGTTTAAACTATGAACTTGAAGACATAGCCCACATAGCTGCTTTAATTATTATTTGCAAAATTAATTTCATTTACATATTCCTGTTGCCATGTACCTTCTGCTCTCTCGCTTTGTAGCACAGACAAAAACACACACTCACACAGCCGTGCTCTTCTACATGTGGTTTTAATAGCAGCTATTTCTTTCCAAGAGGATAACAATAGAGCTTTGCAACACACGTGGTATTAATGATGTGAGAGGGAAACAACCTTTTTCTCTCACACTTTCTTTAGCTCAATTAACAGCTTCTGCACATCACACACCTTGTGCTGTCACCACCGACAGTGTACTTATGAGAGCATTGTGTGTGTGTGTGTTTGTGTGTGTGTGCCTGACATGCTTGTGTGTGTGTGTTTATTGGGCTGGGTACATTTGTGTGTTTACCTATGCCTGTCTGGTATGTCTGTATGTGTGTATGTGTGTGTTTGTCTTTATTAGAGTCGACAGCTGGAGTCGGAGACGGGGACGACGGAGGAGCACAGTCTGAACAAAGAGGCCAGGAGATGGGCAACCAGAATCGCCAGAGAACACAAGAACATCATACATTACAAGAGAGTAAGACGGAGACGAATGCTCGTCACATATGCCCATTTCAGAAATAAAATATGTATGGAAGACACATGTGCTATTTCTAACCCCGGATGTGTGTGTGTGTTGTTTTCAGTGTCTGGAGGAGTGTGAGAACCATGGCTTGCCCCCCACAGAGCAGGGGAGACTAGATCTGGAGTTGAAGATAGAAGACACCAAAGAAAACATACGCAAAGCTGAGGTACGTGACTCACATTGTCAACATTTATATTTGTTCACACAGTGGATACATATTGGGATATTTTTGTCTGCTGAGATTGCTGGTGCACAAAAAGGGAAAGGAGGTTTTCTTTGTAGTGAATGGAAAATGTTTTTCCCCTAAAATATATGCTATTAAATCTGTGATACACATCGATGCAAACATAGTAAAAGTTGCATATCATTGTAGACTCACTTCCTGCCTCTTTCCTCTGTTTCTTTGATAACATAAAACTCAGCCCTGTCTTATATTTCCTCTACCCATTGTCTGGGCTGCGTGACTAATTATTTGGTAAATATTTTAAATGTGAATAGTTGCTGTTGGCCTTCAGTCTGACTCTCTGCTCAGTTAACGGAGCAGGAGGCAATTAAAGTAACAAACATGGCCCAGGATCGATCAATACACCTTTCACATTGCAGGAGATGTCAGATCATTCGTGTTGTTTGACCATTGTTATCCACAAAGCCCACTATTTTCTGCACGTATTGCACCCATAGACATTTTTAGCTATGATTTTGCTGTCAGCCTTTCCACTTGTAGAGATGTCTATCATGTATGTATTGATTCCCACAGATTCAACCTGTCAAAGTATGAATGAGATCGCTGCATCATCTGTCATCTCTCTCCACTCCATTCTGTCTCTCTGTCTTTCCAAGTCTCTAATCTTATGGCTTTTGGTTGCTGTTTTCTTTCTTTGTTCATTCTCTCCACAAAGTCTTTCTTCCTCCATACTGCTTTCTGTTCAGGCTTTCAAATATCTAGCACCCTCTGCTGTCACGCCCAAATAACCTTTCACTTCTGATGTTACCTCTCTGTGTGATCACTATTTCACTATAGTTTTATATTTCTTCATCCCTTAAAGGTGGGGTAGGTAAGTTTGAGAAACCGGCTCGAGATACACTTTTTGTTATATTCCATGGAATGCTCTTAACATCCCGATAGCAATGAATATCTTAAGTGCTTTGACAAAAAATCCATAAAAAATCTGTGGAAGCCGTAGTACTGTAAAAAGCACAACCAATCATTTTAGCCGGCCCGGCTAAAATAACTGGATGGCCTACCTGCCTGTCAGCCTTCCATCTGTGCACACACTTATCTCGTGCCCTCATTGGTCATGTGCGCGTTCGTGTGTGTTGGAGGAGGGGCTCTGTAAGGAAGTGGCAGATTTTCTCCGGTTGTGTATTTTCAAATTCTAGCGCACTCGAGCTGGTTTCTCCAAAATTACAGTACCTACCCCACCTTTAAGGTAATGTTTTTTGGAAATATATACAAGCCAGTGTATCTATTTCAGTCAACCAAAATTGCTAATATTAAGCAACACCATCAGTAGCATGTGATCTCACTGTCTACTATATAATAGGGAGTCTTGTTTATCACGAAGAGCAAAGTCCTTTTTCCACCCTCTGTCTTTCCTTCCCACTGTGTGTCTGCGATTCGTTGCTCTTCTAGGCCAGCATTACTTTAAGTCAGATGATTAATATTTAATGAGCTCATTTGGTATAAATGGCTTCATCACAGAGCTCTTATCACAGAATTATAAAGGGAGTGAAAGCAGAACAAAAGACATCCAGGATGATTACAGCATTATCTGTGCAGTGATGGCGTCATTATTTCCTATTACACAAAGTCTCACTTTCATCCCATTAAACATGATGCACTGGCCATTTAAACACTTTATTAGCAAGAACATGAAGATATTTAGAATGAGGTGTGATTATACAATAAATCTGTGAATTATAATATATTTGTGAGGCATCTGTACTCACAAATGCACGTCGGTGTTTCACAAGCATCATGTGAACTGTCAGTAAATCATTGCTGTAATCATAGTTGGCCTCGCCTCCTGTCCTCATTTACTGATTTTTCATTAATTGCCTAATTTGCTTGTGACAACATCTTAAGCACTTCGACAAAATCAATGTGTTTAATGACGCACTGACTGTGCCAATATGTGACCATTTACTGCATGTCAAACTGCGGGCAAATCTGTGAGAAGGATGCAATGTTGATATTTATTGATAGATAGCTTTTTGTTTGATTTTTGATTTATTGCCTTGAATTATTTTACAACAAAACTTTATTTAAACACGATGCAAGAAACATAAATATCAATGCCTTGAATAATGTACGACTTTTAAGAGCTTGCAGACCAATTTTGTAGTCTGGTTATTATAAGAATATATTAAAAGAGACTGTTGCCTTCACAGACATATCTACACAAAAGAGTAGATGAGGTAGCTAAGTAGCTATCTATTTTGTAGTTTTCAACCGCACTCACCTCAATCTCTACTGATCCTCTTTTTCTCGCCTCTGTTTGAAAGAAATCAATAAACATTGAAAGAAAGAGCAGAGTTATGTATTCTGGGCGCTCTACAAACCTCTGATGTGATTGCCTCTTGCTGGGAACTTGATAAAAGGCTCTGGGAACTGAAAGGCTCTGGATGTCTTTTCTTGAAGTTACTTAAATAGTTAATACCGAAAGACAATTTATCAGTGAGATTAAGTGATATGTGCTGTGATAAAAGTCAAGTGAAATTTAGAACATAAAATGAAATGTATTTTATATTCTAATATAAATCATGTGTAATGACTTGGCCCCTGGCCAGCTGTGTGGAGTTTAGTTTGGTTTCAATCAAGAGGAGAGAAAAAGGCATTTATGAAGTTATTTAACGAGGGCTGGGCGATATGACAAAAGTCAATAATAACTTCATGTCGATATTGCAAAAATATTTTACAGCACACTATTGGTGTTTTCATAAAACATTTACACTATGATATGTTGGTTAAATAATCATCAGTTATGTGGATATGTCTAAAAAAGGTAAAAGACATGTTCAACAATATCAAAAGTCTTACATTTATATCCAGTCTTATGTGAAAGGTGATTTTAGTTTTTACTACAGCTTGTGATATTCTAATAAAAGGTTACACATACAGCAAAACAACATTGTCAATTACGTTTTGAGGGAACACAATTCTCCCCAATTAAGTTTTTATGTATTACAAATATATTTCTACTCACTCTGCATAGGGAGGAGGCAGAAATGGATGGGTCAGTCACTTTTACCCAAGGGACCAATCTTCATGTCCCTTATGAAACCAAAAGTCAATGTAAAGCAATTTTTTCATGCATAAGTTAAGTCTAGTCCTCTTTCTAAGGAGTTTTTAGAGAAAGAGTGAGAGAAATGAAAGCAGGAGGCTGTCTCTATATTAAGGAGCTGTTGAAGGCTCCACCAGACAATCTGGCCTCATTAACACGAGGCGTCAACATGTTTCAGACACAAGATGCATCAAGAGAGATACAAGCTTGTGCTCTCAGACACTTTCCAGCACGAGCAAACAAAACTAATAAGGATTGGTAAAATGATTTGAAGTATCGACTCAAAATCTAGACACAATTTAATTTGCATATGGCGTGTAGCAAATAATAAGACACAGTACACTATAGACACTCGAGAACAATGGGTATGGAGCTTCTAGTATTCCTTAAGTTTCTCAAGTTCAGTTGTCATCTTTTGAGCTCTGCAGCACCAGGACTCACTAGGATTTAGAATAATTCAATATAAGTTAGACAGCTATGTTTTTCCCTGCACTATTTCTCCGCCTGTCAACTCTCCTTCTATATTTCTGTATGCTCTATATTCTATATTCTGGGACGTCCTACAGTCCTCCTCTAGTTATCTGTACTCCCAACACTGGCTACTTATTCTTATTCTGCTGCTGCAAAGATGGCTGAACATACATTGTCCATTATTTCAACTTCAGCCCTTAATGTCTAAGGTCCAACAGCAACCTTTAGCATTTGCTGGGCTTTACTAATGGATCGGATAATAAGGAGGCACTTAAGGAGCTCAGGTTTTTATTGATCAAAGCCAGGAAGTCTGTCTTGGCGGTGTGTGTGTGTGTGTGTGCGTGCGTGCATGCGTTTATTGTCGGTCTGATTGACTGCAGCTCTCTGAAGAAGGGAACTATCGGCTATCAGTTTTCTCGTCAGCATTTGTGAGGAAGGAAAGACGAGTGTAATGAAAGGGGAAATTGGTGAGAGACATCAGAAAAAAGAGAACGGATCAGAGATGAAAGAGGGTTGAGGAGGCGAGACAAAGTGAATGTAAATCTCAGGGGTTTCACTGCTGGTGGTTATAGCCTTATCATATCGTATCATTAGGAAAGAACAAAGCACATGTCCAGCGTTGGCAGCTAATTAAAAGAAAGTTCAGTGAGTTTTGATGATTTGCCATTTAAGCTAATTTTGGAGTGCAAATCCAGTTCAAATCCAGACTCTTGTCACTGAACTGTGTGGCATTTGATGTAATGAAGCAGAAAGGAACATAAAAAATGTGTTCTCAGTGAAGATTTGATTTAAGATGTTTGACGTGGTTCTCGATCATCGAGTGGTGGGTTAGGTTTACTCCATAATTAGAGAAATCAGGTCCCTGTTTAAAATAAAATGGGACACATTTTGTTTAAAAAAGCAGTATGTTTATTTTCAGACTGATGCAAGAAAAACTGTGGAGGCCAGTAATATATTGAATGCTCTTAACTTACCTAAACCCTTTTCTCTCCAAAGACAATAAAGTTAAAAGCTGAGGCTCGGTTGGACCTTCTGCGGCAAGTGGGGGTCGCCGTGGAAACCTGGCTGAAGAGCGCCATGAACCAGGTACGATTTGTCTCTGTGTGTGTGTGTGTGTGTGTGTGTGTGTGTGTGTGTGTGTGTGTGTGTGTGTGTGTGTGTGTGTGTGTGTGTGTGTGTGTGTGTGTGTGTGTGTGTGTGTGTGTGTGGTGTGTGTGTGTGTGTGTGTGTGTGTGTGTGTGTGTGTGTGTGTGTGTGTGTGTGTGTGTGTGTGTGTGTTTGCGTGCGAGCGAGTGAGTATGTGTGAGTGTGTGTCTGTGAGTGTGTGTGTAAGGCTTTTCTTAAGGGCGGCAGCCATCGATTATTACAAAAACGGGGTATTCTTTAAATTATTTTATCAATTAAGTGAGTAATCAGTTAATAAATAATTTGGCTTTATTTAGGAACAATAATAATAAGAGAAAATAAGAATCATTAATCATTTTCAGGCATATTTCTGACTGTGCAAAATGCAAAGAATTTGCATTGATGATTTTTAGTCATCCAGTTACCTGATTAGAGTTTCTGCAGGAAAGTGTAAAACATTGTTTGATACATGTTTGTGAGTGCGTTCATACGACTGCTGGAGTGTGTGTGCATTTAAATCCTTTCACACATACATCTCATTTTGTGTGGTAGAGTATGTGTGTTGCCTGCTTGCAGAACGTGTATAAACTCCCCCCCCCCCACTCTCTCTGTGCATGCTGTAGGTGATGGAGGAGCTGGAGAATGAACGTTGGGCCACCTACACTTCCCATGATCCCTCACTTTCGGTGAGACACCTCCCCTCACTCTGCGTACGTTGCAGCTTTCCAGCCAAGCCAAAATAACTTTAATGAAATTTGAAAACATTGGAGGAAACATTATGATTATTTAGTATTATTATAAAGTATACAGGTTCAAAAATGCATATTAATACATTATTTAAAGTGGACCTATCATGCTATATTTGAATAATATAGTGTAGGACCATACCTATATAAGGCATATTTATACTTTTTTTTTTTCAAAATACCAAACAGATCATGCATTTTAGCCATGCCTCATTTTGCTCAATTTGACATTTTTTAGCTCTGTTTTTGCAAGGGCTGATTCTGTGAGAACAGCACCATCTACAGGCCTGGCATATGTACTACAGCGTCTCCAGCGCTTTCGAACGGCAATGGCCGTGGCCGTCTCCTCCTGATTGGTGGAGTTGGCCCAATAGCCGTAGCGCCACCGTCCTGACGTCAGGACAGTGTTCAAATCTGGATCAATTTTTATCAGATCCGTTGCAGCCCCTTTTTTAGAGATTTGGGTATGGAGGAAAATAGAGAGGGTTGTGTTTTCTGACACTTGGTGAGTTCCCTGGAACACTGGGGACACATATTCATGTATAAAAGACGTACAAAAGTGCATTTTGCATGATAGGTCCCCTTTAAATCAGCATTTAAAAGGGTGCTGCACTTTTTGACTTGGCTGTAAAGTGCACATCTGACACTAAATCAGAAATAGAATAGCACATGTTCACCACATAATATCAACTGTGAGTGATTTGTGTCGCATGCTTGGTGGCTTCTTTATCACCTTCCAAATGAACAACACGATGACTGTATAGTGTACCTGTAGTTATATCTCTACTTTTTCAATTCAGCACTTTCAGAAAATTAATTTTAAACCCTAAGGCAGTACCTAATAATCCTAGACTTTCCATTCTTTACGGTTTCATTTTAAGTGAAACCCACCCAGCTATAAGAGTTCTCCTGACAAATCACTTCCTGAATCATGTAAATTGTAAAATAATTGACCTCAGCACCGCTGCCTAATCATCTGTCACACCATTACAGCCTCTTAAAACGCCCCACTTCCCCCATTGGAATACTGATGTAGCCAGCTCACGACAGGCACTTTTTATTTCATGACCCTTAGCTTAAATGGCCAGATATACTGTGTACAGATCTGAAGCCTGAGGATCACCACATTATGAACATGTGTTGGTATGTTTTGCATGTAATGGGGATGGACTGCTTTAACCATGAACAAATAGTTTGCCATTTTAAGAAATATACGTACTGTATTGGCTTTCTCTGTGAAAGTTAGATGTTCAGATAGGAACCACTATCATGTCTGTTGCTAGAGCTGAGAGCTGGCTAGCTTAGCTTAGCACACAGATTGGAAACACATTTTTTGTATGCATTATCAAACAAGATCTAATGCTTTATTTAGGAGAATTTAGATTATCTGGTATGTAGAGTTTATTACCATTACAGAGAGCCAGGCTAGCTGCTAAGCTAACCGGGTGCTGGCTGTAGCTTTATATGTTTATATATAAACTGTACAGACATAAGACGGTGTTGATCTTTGATTTAGCTGAATAAGCACCTTTTACTAAATGTTAAAAAAAATCCTTTACAGTCAAAGTGACTGCTTTTCCAAGAGGGAAGGGGGAGGAGATGTGTGTGTATATATCTGTTGTGAACGTCTCAAAGTGCCAAACGGTATGTGGCATGTCCCTGTGTGTGGTTGACTGGATGTATACTTGAGTTATGGATATTTATTTAAAAGTAGGTTTTTGCGGGCTTGTCAGACGTACGTGTGTGTGTGTGTGTGTGTGTGTGTGTGTGTGTGTGTGTGTGTGTGTGTGTGTGTGTGTGTGTGTGTGTGTGTGTGTGTGTGTGTGTGTGTGTGTGTGTGTGTGTGTGTGTGTGTGTGTGTGTGTGTGTGTGTGTGTGTGTGTGTGTGTGTGTGTGTGTGTGTGTGTGTGTGTGTGTGTGTGTGTGTGTGTGTGTGTGTGTGTGTGTGTGTGTGTGTGTGTGTGTGTGTGTGTGTGTGTGTGTGTGTGTGTGTGTGTGTGTGTGTGTGTGTCAAGAGAATTGAACATAGTGAGTCTGCTCCATTGGAAGCACTTGACATTCTGCTCACATGATATTGCAGCTTGCAGCTAACACCAGAGAGAGAGAGAGAGAGAAAATATAGAGTGTGAGAAAGTGAGAGGAATTCTGAGGTGAAGGAAATCTAGGAAGAGATGAAAAGAAAGAAGGGAGGATCGAAGGAGCTGTGCAGTAAGGGAGGGAGTGTTGGAGAGAAAATTAGTGAGGGAGGAGAGAGAATGTGGAGGAGTCAGCTGCGAGAAAAAGGTGTGATGAAGAGGTGAGGACGGGGATAGCATCAGAGTGATAATGTTGAAGTAAAATTGGATGCAAAGTGAGAGAGACGAGGAAATGTGAAAAACAGCAATGAAAATAGATGAGCGTACCTTAAGGCCACAGTACACTCTATAGAATTTTTTTTTTTTAAATGTTCACAGACAAACTGGTGACCAAAACAAAGAATAGTCACTTCGATATTCCCTGCAAGAAGTTAGGTTTTGTACATTTTGGATATTATTTCTGTGTTCTAGTTCCCTTCACCCTGGAGGTTATGTTCTAAGTTTGTTGGTTTGTTTGTCAGCAGGATTGTGGAAAACTACTTGCATTTTCATGAATCTGGGTTAAATGATGAAGCATGGGCCAGAAAAGAATCCATCCAATTTACTTTGGAGAATATCCAAATCGCTGGGCGGATACACACATTATTTTTCAATTACTTGGCAGAGGTTCATGCTCCTAGAATGCCCTTCTAGTTTTTAAAAGTATCCTTTAAACCTCGCTATTTATACGATGAATCAGTTGGAAGCTAGACTTGCTGAAAACTCATCCATTTTGCCTGGGGGTCATTAAAAAAAGCAGACCAGGCGGCATATTGAGTATTCAGGCATGGGTCAGCAGTTCAACAGCCTTTGATTTTATGTGGAGCGTATGGAGCCTCAAGAGCCCGACAGCGGCAGAGAACGAGGTTTTACAATAATAAGGCACAACAAAGCCAATAGACAACAGTAGGAGGGATTGTTAACAATAGTTTGCTCAATAAGGAGAGGTCAAGAAGTGACTGTTGGTCAGAGAGAGAAGGGAGGATGGCTTGTGAATAACAATCTGCAAAGGAAAGCAAAGAAAAACAATGACAATGGGGAGCAGGCACTCCCCCTCCTCCCTCTCTTCATTCCACTCAACTTTATTAATACCACTCTGATATACTGTAAGCCATGAACTCTCAATTCCCTCAAGCAGACTCTGCTTTCATTTCAATATCCCTTTCTCAGTCATGCGCTCCAGGAACCATGAAATCATCCATTCGTCTTCATCTCAGCTGTATTGCTATGCACACTGGGATATACTTAAGGGGACACTTTATTGGGTTACTACAGAAATACATGCTGGTCATTTTACCTCAGGGATGAAATGGAATGGCCCTAAAGCTGCACAGCGGACTTTTAAATAAATGCAGTAAAGTTTATAAGATTGACGTAAAACAACAAACTTAAGGACAAACTTAGGAAAAGTGTGTGTTAAAATTCAGGAAGGGAATAGATTATTATGGAGACTAACTCATATACAAAACACACATCTGTTCGGTTCTACACCAGTGTAGAGTTTATTGTGTCAACAGAAATTTGATGACTAAACACAATGACTTGGGAATGGATACACACACACACACACACACACGCACACACACACACACACACACACACACACACACACACACACACACACACACACACACACTCACACACTATTGTTATGACCAGCTGGCTGTGTGTGATGGATCTTTCCACTAGCTAGATCACATGACCTTCATAGGAGCCAGTGAAATTGTCATGGAACAAAAGAGGGAGGTGCTGTATCATATGAAGCGTTAGTCCCGCTACACCTGAGTCTAAAAGCTGTAGCATCCACACTGAGCAGGACAGAGAAACCCAGGCAGGAAGAAAAAAGGTAAGCTCTGTAAAGATTAAGTTGTGACACTAGCCTGGGAAAAGGGGAAAAAGATAACAGGTGAAAGTCTTTGTTAGATGGACAGACTTTGCAACTGGTGAACTGAGCACGTGCAAAGATAGACAAACAAAACAAGTCACCTTGCTGAGCGTCACACCAGGACATAAAGCAGGAGCATGAAGGCTGGACAAAATGTTCTTTATATGTGTAGAACTGCGTCTATCTAGCCAAACTTGAAATGTTTGAAAAAGGTATTATTGTTAATATTGGACAACTTTTTGTGTAGTCTTTTTTGACTCTGGAGCTTCAAAAGTGAGCTGTGCTTTCCTTATTTGTCCTTGTAGTTATCAGAGGTTTTTGACTTTATCTGGCTGTGTTTGTGTGTTAAAGGGCACAGTGGATTTGGAGCGTGAGGAGGGAGAGGAGTGTGAAGAGAACATGGAGGTTTTTGACGACAGCAGCTCCAGTCCTTCAGGGACTTTACGAAACTACCCGCTAACCTGCAAAGTCCTGTACTCATACAAGGTAAACACCAACACACACACACACACACACACACACACACACACACACACACACACACACACACACACACACACACACACACACACACACACACACACACACACACACACACACAGTTACCCTCTGCAGGTACATGGTCACACAGCTACACGTATCAAATGTCTGCAGCTACCTGTTCAACCACTACACACAGAATCATACACAATCACGTGCATCTATATATGCATGTAAGATGCAGACAGACAGTACAAATAACTATTAACCATGGGTTTATTGTAGCATGTTTTATTTAACTGTACTGTATAAATGTCTGTTCTTTCTGTCTTTAACCCTGTTGTTGTGTCTCTCCCACAGGCCTCTCAGCCGGATGAGTTAACTATTGATGAGCAGGAGATGTTGGAGGTCATAGAGGATGGCGACATGGAGGACTGGGTCAAGGTACACAAATGCACACACTGACACAAATGATGCAATCACACATTATTATGTAAACAGCTACAACAACCTAAGCATTAATTATAAGCTCTGTGTTGTCCTGTTTGGTTTCACAACCTAGCATGGTTTCTTGGTGCTCATATTTCTCCTACCATGCATGTTTTAATGTTGTCTTTGTTCCTTGTTCCTTGTTTGTTTCCAGGCTCGCAATAAGACCGGTCTCATTGGCTATGTCCCGGAGAAATACCTGCAGTTCCCGACCTCCAACAGTTTGCTCAGCATGCTCCAGTCTCTGGCGACTCTCGATGCTCGATCCCACACCTCGTCCAATTCCACCGAGCCAGAGCTGCACTCGGGCTGCATCAATGGAGACACTAACAGTAAGTCCGCTGTAAACTGATGTGATGGTACATTATCAGTTGACATAATTAAACTGCATGCCAGGACTTTCAGTATACAAGGTAATTCCGGTTGTAGCAGTGTTCATTTGCTTTTTTATTCTTGTAATTAGGTTATTATGCACCACTAATTAAAACATTTGTCTGTGTTCTGCTCCACTGGAGTTGCTTGGAATAATAAAAAACAGTCCTTTTGTGAAGCAGAGCGTTATTAGAATAGGCAAGTGTTGGTTGTCTAAAAGAAGAAGTGAAGTAGAAGTGTAAATTCAAACCCTGAAGGCTACATAAGCCACAGTTAAGTAAACACTTTCCATAAAACAGTACTAACCTATGTCAGGTGTCACAAGCTTTGTCCCTCCTGATTTTTTCTTCAACTATTTCTATATTGATCATTGTTTTTGGTTGCTTCCATTTCACAACTCACTGGAACAGAGACAAGAGTAAGCCAGTTAATACAAATTGGTCGAAAAGACAATAAAACACCAGCAAGGGGAAATGTTTTTCTCCTTTCGACAACACCATCTTTTGCAAAACTCCATAACATTTTATAAAGATTGTATTTATAATGTATTCTTCCTTTCTCACCTGCTTTCTATGCAAACATTCTTTCTTCTACTCTCCTCCAACCCTCTTTCTAATGCCATGTGTCTGCTCTACCTGAATACATTGGGAAACTGACACCAAATGATTATTTCTTTCTGTCTTCTCTGTATCTCCCTCTCTCCAGCAGTGTGTACCATTCTCTTTATGAAAATGAGGGGCAGGCAAGCAAGGAACAACATTTCCCCAAGAATAATTATTCTTTCTGTATATCTTATAACTTTTTCTCTCTGTCTCCCTTTCTCTCCACAGTCATTTTTGTCCGCGCACTTTATGATTATGATGGCCAGGCAGACGAGGAACTCTCCTTTTCGGAGGGAGCTGTGATTCGTCTGTTGAACCGCGACACTCAGACGGACGATGGCTTCTGGGAGGGGGAGATCAACGGACGGGTGGGCGTCTTCCCCTCCGTGCTGGTAGAAGATCTCACTGAGAATGGGGAGACCAGTGGAGGAGGGCCTGGTGACATACAGGTATGTAAAACAATTAGTCAGGGACATACTCCCCCTTAAGTAACACTCAGCTCTAGATTTATCCATCACTCTGCAGGAGCTGAAAACTTGGTCTTATCAGTCTTTCCTCAGGGCACAAATGCCGAGCATATAGTGTAGTCTACTGGGCCACTTTACCCCCCGCTCCCCTCCCTTCCTGGCTTTTGTCCAGTAGATTTATCAGCAGGGCAGAGTTCACAAACAGTGGATCAGAACTGCGGTGTTGCTGGAGCGCTCTGAGAAAATCCTGCACTGCAATCACAGGAAGATGTCTTATCTGTGGCAGAGCCCTATTAGAGGTTCAGCTACAGGAAGCATACAGCCTCTCCCTTTCCGAAAATACTGTAGACATAACACACTCCGCAGCAAATCTAAACATGGTTTAAGTGGTGTTTGGGGAAGATAAGTAAAACAATCTAAAAGTTACTGAATAATACTTCCGCGGAAGCAGATTTGTTGTAATAAGTGGAAGCTCATACTTCAATATAGTTAACCGGCATTTGTTTTTGAAGGTTTTTTTTATGGTATTCCTTTGGTGTTTCACCAAAGCTGTTTTAATCAATACTGTTGTATTAAGTTAAACCACTGTTGTGAAAGGGTTTGCTTCTAGTGACAAAACCAATAAGGGTTTATTACCTGGCTCTGCAGTTTCCCTGATCTGCAGTATATTGAGCATTTAGCATCTTTAAATATTCTGCTATGGTTTAACACCCTGCAACTCTCACTTCTTGCTTGGCATTATCTTTAGGTGCTGTTTTTTCAATGAAAAGGCTATAAAAATAACTGTACTTAACTGAACTTATTTCCCTCAGGAGTTGATGGAGGCCAACAATAGAGTAAAAAATAAAGTGAGTATTAAAGCTTTTATCAGGTTGCCATAAACACGACTCCAAATGAATGAATTTTACTGTAGCACCTTTCTGCTTGATATATAATTAAATAAATAAAACACATTAGCCCTATTTATTTATTACATGAACAAATTGTGTTTTTAGCACCACCATCAGGCTAAGGCTCAACTGACATTTTGGGAAAAAAATAATTCTCCTAATACTTATTACCATTTTCAGTGTCCTTTTTTTCAGTTTCAGCTAGTTACTTTGCCATTTTCTTTAAAGATTATTTTGGCTGTGTTTCAAAATGTTTTACTTCAACCAGTCTGTGCTTTCAGTTTGATATAAAATATGTAGAGATAGGGATTAGGGAGCATTGGGTATATTAATAGGATCACAAGTGAGCAGCAATTCTCAGCAAATGTATGAATTTCTTTATTTCTTCAGATTTCTCCTTCCGTGAAGTTGCCATGTTCTCTGCCACCCCTCCCGCTGTATGAACAACCTCCCATCAGCCCTTTCACCAGTCCAGAAAACTCCACCCCGCCACCTCTCCCACGCTCACCTTCCACCGCACTTAATGGGGAGCACAAGCCTCCTACGCCCTCCTCGTCACACAAAGGACCGCTGCCCAACAACAGTAAGACACACACAAACACACACTCACACTCACACACACAAACACACAGGCCATTGTGGCTTTTTAGTGTGAGATCTTTTGTTTAAGAAATATTTCTCCTCTTTCTCTGTCTCTAGATCAAAGCTCTGGCAAAAGTCCAGTGTCTCCAGGATTTCCTCAGCCACTGCGATTTACCCCTGATGGAGGCCCAAGCAAACTACGACCTGTTAGTATAAAACTTATTCAAGTGTTCTGTACCTTTTTTGTTTTGCTTTGCTGTCAATATTTGTATATTGTGTGACAGTAAACTAATTATCTTTGGGTTTTGTACTGATGGTCAGACAGAAATACAATTAGTATTTGCCTCTATTGTGTTACATTTTACAGATTACTTCAATTTTTCAATAATGAAAGTAATGGATAGTAGCTCTGTATTAGTCAAAGTGTTTATTTAACTGACTCTGAATCCCAATTATTATTTCCAGTCAGACTACTGAGTTTTATTTTTTCAAGTCCCTAAAAGTTTTTGGGAGATATACGGTGTCTCAGAGCAGGCATGAACATAAAGCTGTTTGTCACACAGAAGAAAAGTAGGCCATCTTACATATATTATGTTTTCCTTCACCCCTGCAGGTGCGTGCTGCTCCTCCTCCACCCAAACAGCACCCCCGCCGACCGCAAGAGAAGAGTGAGAAGACGGAGGAGGTGGAGATCACGCTGGTGTGACAGACAGTTAAGATGGCTGGCAGAAAGAAATTAAAATAGACGACAGACAGACGCATCCTAGAGGCTGGGGAACTAAACTGCTCTGAACTGAATTCAGCTCAAACAACACAATGTGAAGTGAACTGAACTGAACCACATCTGACGCCCACCCTCCATACTTTCCACATCTCTCATACTCAAGTTGAGGAGGAGAGCACAGAGATGGATGGAGGCAGAGGGTCCAATTGAATAATCTACGTATTAGCTTCCTAATGAAGTGCAGCTCTAGCCGCCCCCACGCGCCTCTCAACCCTCCCCGTCCTTTCATTCTTGCCTTAAAACTTTACCTCATCGGACAGCAGACCAGAGCACACTGAAGAGGAGGACGAATGTTTAGAGACGGGGGGGTGGGAGGGAAAGGGAATGATAGGTTTGGCAAGTTTTTCTTTCATCTTGTTAGGTTAACTTCAAGACATTGTACTGGTCATCTCTCTGTACAGGATGATCATTCTGCTACATTTTAGAAATCTCCCATTTTTCACTGACTGCTTACAAATAATAATCAAACCTGTAAAAAGTTACAGAGCCCTGAAGTGACAACATGTAGTAAAGGGTTAGACTAGTCAAACTTAGAACTGAACACAAAGTGCCAGGTTTACTTAGTTCTAAATTAAAATTGATTATTTAAAGAAATGTACAAGGTTATTAAATGTTCCTCATAAAACATGAAAATTGCTTATATTGGAGCAAAAGAGATGACTGTGTGGCTACCTAGCCTAAATGACAACACTGTTAGCAAAGCTAACCACCTTCTGTAGCTGAAGCGAATAACCCAAATAGTTTACTTCATGTGTCTGTAACATCACAGTATACACCCTTCTAACTGTAGCTAAAGCATGTTAGTAAAGAAGTTGCAACAAAGCTAGCTAGCTAAAGTATGAAACTTTAAGATTTGGAATTGTATCAGAAGTAAAGTCACAGACAGCTACAAAATGTTGAGGATGACAGAATAAAATAACAATTATTTCCACTGTGGTCTTCATTGAGGACAAGAGAAATGCAAGATGAAGAGTAGGCTATATCTCTTCTCAGTAGCATACCAAGTAGCTTGTTAGCTTCAATGCTTTAGCTACCGCTAACAGAGTTGAAATGCTATTGGTGTAGCAGTATGCAGTACTGTATATTGTTGACATTAAGTGCAGTAGCTGTTGTAGTTATATGCCAAAAAAACAGCTTCTTCATGGTGGCTTGCAAAAACGGATTGTGCTTTGTGTAACTAGCTATGCTAAGGTAAGCTAGTAGCCAGTCCTATGGGAATGATAATAAGGCAAAAGATAAATAGGGGAACGTTTGCCGAGTTAAGAACACTTTAAAATGAATTAGTTGAACATAAATAATGAATGAGTGTAAAATATATCAAAATATGTTTTTGACTTATCTGATATCCTGTACTATAGTTTGAGTGTCAGTGCTCAATGTAGAGTAAGCTTGATGAGAGGGAATAAGCATAAAACTTGCCAAACGTGTCATGATTTGGATTGAAGTTGGGGTTGAAGTAAATGGACAGAGAAACTGGGTGGTGTGTGGACGCAGTGTCCCCCCCTCGCCAGCCCTTCCCTCACCATATATAATCCTTATCATCATACGTATTCAATGTGTATTAGTACAGTACATTACTGTTGTCATAGGAATGTTATGCACAGTGTTTCATATAGACTAACTGAGCTGATGGAATACCATGTCTGATATGTAGTGGAAGTTTTATCCTCATTTTATACCGAAAGGGCATTGTAAATACAGTATGAAGGAGAGATAAGAGAGTAGGAGGGGTTAAGGGGATGAAGGAACAAGAGAGAAAAGGGAGGCTGGATCCTCCTCTCTGCTCCACCTCTCTTCCCGCCCTTCCTTTCTTTCTCTTCCTCTTTCCTCTAATGTCAGTTTTGTCCATTTGCGGTCAGTGTGAATTGATGGCTATCATATACACACATCAAGTTACATTATATTACGCACACATTGCTATATCTTTCATTCTGTGAGCATCAGTGGGCTTATATCACTGGTTGGTTTAGGAGGAGGCTGATGATGTGTTCGAAAGCACAGACATTGTTGGCATTCACTCTGTGTGGTGACAAAGATATTTTTTGAGATGATATAGACACTGATCATGTTTAGGTCAGGAGTTATTATTAATCACAGAATGAACTGTAAAGCTTTTATCCCTACAGATCATACCTCCTCTCATGTTGATTTTGTTCATTTATAACACTGATCACTTCACCTATAACATATATCCTTTAGTTGACACGCAATACATTCACAGGTATTATTTTTTCTGTTGGTGTGCTACAAAACAGCAGAAAAAACATCCATAACAACAAATGGACCTTTAACATTTCCAACTTGGTATCATCTTTATTTTTATTTGATAAAAGGTGGTAGAAATTGAAAAAATACTAATACATTGCCCATAATGGACAGAACTAGCAAACGACATTCAAATGGAGCCAAGTACAATTCTGTTGTGTTTTTTTTACTTAAAGTAAACAATCTTCCCCCTTAAATACCCTTCAAGCCTTTGAAACCCCTTGCCTAAAGGGCAGCGTAGCACTTTTATTTATTTGTACCTTCCCTGGACAGTAGCAGTATCTTAAAACAGTATCAGCATGAATGGAAAGACTCTGATGAATCACTGCAGTTTAATACAGAAATCAGAGTACTTCTCTTCATTCTGATTCTGTGGCGAATGCTTTTTATTTCAGTGTGACTGACGACTCTTTTATATATATATTCTCCACTCTTCCAAAGAGACAGAGAGAATATTGTGGAAAATGTAATTTGGTGTTTTTCTAAACTTAGAAGAAAAAAACGACATGATCATAGTAAGGGATGTTTGAATGCAGACTTTGAGAGAATGTGGTTTTATGGACTTAAAGAGGACCCATTTGCGTGTGATTGTTGAAGAGGAGAGCATCAGATCTGTGTTTGACTCTGAAGATGTAAAGATGTGTTCCGGTTCTTTCCTCCATATTTATTATACACTCGCAGTTTGATAGAGCGTTCACATTGAATACATCAGATTAATAATGACAGAATGGACTTTAAGTTTGCTTGCTTTTCCAGTGTGGTGTTAATGTACAATATTGCTACATATTGCAACACATTATTAAAGGGACCTCCTCACAGCTGGAAACAATTAGATATAATTGTACCCTGTTGTGAGACAGCTCCAAAAATATGTCAAAACAAAAAAGGACAGTATTCAATCTCTGGTACTTTCTGATCTGTGCTCAATCTGATTGGTTTCCCATTTTCAAAGTGGAATTATGTTGGATTGAGAAAGCTGATGCAAGAAATCAAGACAGAACTAGAAACAATATTTTCTGCAGCATCCACACCTCACAAAGTTAAAGGTGGGGTAGGTAAGTTTGAGAAACCGGCTCGAGATACACTTTTTATTATATTCCATGGAATGCTCTTAACGTCTCGATAGCAATGAATTACCTACCCCACCTTTAAAGGTGAATTTAAAGTAAATTTTGGAGAAACCAGCTCGAGTGCGCTAGAATTTGAAAATACACAGCCGGAAAAAATCTGCCACTTCCTTACAGAGCCCCTCCTCCAACACACACGAACGTGCACATGACCAATGAGGGCACGAGATAAGTTTGTGCACAGATGGAAGGCTGACAGGCAGGTAGGCCATCCAGTTATTTTAGCCGGGCCGGCTAAAATGATTGGTCGTGCTTTTTACAGTATTACGGCTTCCACAGATGACATTTTTTTATGGATTCTTTGTCAAAGCACTTACGATATTCATTGCTATCGGGATGTTAAGAGCATTCCATGGAATATAACAAAAAGTGTATCTCGAGCCGGTTTCTCAAACTTACCTACCCCACCTTTAAGCTTTCTGGAATAAGTTACAGTGCTCCACTGATGTTGTAGGAACTAGCTTCGACTCGTGACTGTGGTCAAGCCTCTCCTTCAGCTCTCATTTAAAATAGTTTTCTAACTTTGTTTGAAATGTTTGGTTTACAACCTCTCACAGAACTTCACACAATAAAAGCTCAATCAGTCTTTCTATCAAATACAAAATGTATGACTTCCGTAGCCAGTTACCCCTTTGATCAGGATTATGTTCCCTTTTTGACAGTCCCTTTGGTCCACTACAGTGTTGAATTATTTGTTATGAGCCTGTTTTTGTTTTTTATGTATTATATAATTATTTTATGTTTCATCCTTCGATTTGGCGCAGCTGCACAGCTGCTGTTTTAAACGACGTGGTGGAGCAACTGGCCTTCTCTCTTCAGACTGTTGCCATGGTGACAATAATATGGACAGGTGCAAAAGTCTTTCTGCATATTATTATTGGCTGTACAAAAAAATAAAGTTTGTATTTATTGTGTACAAATGTTAATTAATAAAAAAATATTGAAAGTTGTTTTTTGTGATCACTTCTTTTTGTTCTGTTGTGCGGTTGTTTGTAATGGTTTGCCTTCCTGTAACTAATCGTGTGTGTGTGTGTGTGTGTGTGTGTGTGTGTGTGTGTGTGTGTGTGTGTGTGTGTGTGTGTGTGTGTGTGTGTGTGTGTGTGTGTGTGTGTGTGTGTGTGTGTGTGTGTGTGTGTGTGTGTGTGTGTGTGTGTGTGGTGTGTGTGTGTGTGTGTGTGTGTGTGTGTGTGTGTGTGTGTGTGTGTGTGTGTGTGTGTGTGTGTGTGTGTGTGTGTGTGTGTGTGTGTGTGTGTGTGTGTGTGTGTTCAGTCTCTGGAGGTGGGTGTGATCATGATAACACACTTTATAAACACCCGAGGCCAGAGTTTCTTGAGTGGAGCAGGAAGTAGAAGGGAAACAACAACGCAGAGCAGCAAAGCAGCAATTGTTCACTTTTATGTGGGCCATTGAACATGTTCATGCCAGAAGTTTTAGCTTTATTTGCTTTATTTTAGCAACTTCCCAACTCTTTCTCTGAAAAGAAATGGACTGGTCACCTTCAAATTCCACCTGTGTGAAACTCTATCTGTGCTCCAACCCTGAAGGTATGAAAAGAAACCAATGCATGAATGTGTTGTTATGTTTCTGAAGGTTTTTGTGATCAGATGTTGTTTGTGTTTATGCTCTGTACAGATAGCGTGGTGGAGCGCAGAGCTCTGAGAGAGAGTGTGTTTCCAAAACTTAGAGAGCACTGCAGACACACACTGGGACTGGATGTCAGGGTCAGTACACACTTATCTTTCTAAATGTGTATGTGTGATGCGTGTTGTGTATTTCAGATGCAAAGGTGTTAGTGTTATCAATTACTGTATTGTCACACACAGTCGTGATGGCTTTTACAGAAGGAGGAACATTCAGCTGTGGTCTAAATGGAAACAATGTAACTAACTTGTTTTTAAATCTGTAAAGAAAAGTTGCATTTATCAACTGTTTTCAGTGATGTGTCCATAGTTTTATTTTTCTAATTCCTTCATAGAATATTGTTTACAATCATTTGTGTAATTGTTTTGTTCTCAAAATATTGAAAATAATGAAGTTGATATGGATTCAGAGGTGAAGGTCCTGAGTAAAACATGTTTGGTCTGATCAACACTCATTATACATACTATGACATATGAGTTTTCTAAAAGTGTGCACCCAAAATGATATTTTATCTCAGTTGGCTTATTGTTATCGCACTATTACAGACTCCTCCTTATAAAACACACTGAAGGACATCGTTTCATGTCAACATTGGAATACAAAAGCAACATTATTTGGTAGCTTCCAAGGAAGAGAGATGAGCAGCTGTAAAGCGACTCTGTGCGTAATGTGTCGGTGTCGATGAAATCGCCTCAGGCTCTTCAACCAGCACATTGTGCCGTCTCTTCAGCAGCATGTGTAATTAGAGAGGGAAGAATATCATGTGTTTCTGAGCCACCACCTGTCCAATTGTGCTCCTCTCTGTGTGCTTTTCACAAACGGACTATCAGTCATCTCTCCTCTCGAGTGTTTTAATTGTGTGTGTGTGTGTGTGTGTGTGTGTGTGTGTGTGTGTGTGTGTGTGTGTGTGTGTGTGTGTGTGTGTGTGTGTGTGTGTGTGTGTGTGTGTGTGTGTGTGTGTGTGTGTGTGTGTGTGTGTGTGTGTGTGTGTGTGTGTGTGTGTGTGTGTGTGTGTGTGTGTGTGTGTGTGTGTGTGTGTGTGTAGGTGTTGGACCCATTTGAGTCCAGTGACTCCAGTAGTTGGCCAGAGGAAAGCAGCAGACAGCAGCTGATTGAAGAATGCAGAAAGAGCTCCTCAGGACCTTTTTTACTGGTAAATAAATCCCCAGATTTAATGTAGTCATCGTGGGTCCCCCTCGAGCATCCTAGTGTTTTAAAAAATAAAACATAATTGAATCATAGTTTGAGTAATACCACAGCCATGAGGCACTATTATACACTGTCATTAAATCAGTCCCTGTTGAGCTTTTATAAATCCATAAACACCCATTTGAGTGTGAATGAATCTGTGCTGAACGAGGAATCCCATAATGCTGTTCGCTCTGTGTCCATGTGGTGGCGCTGCAGGCTCTGGTAGGGCATCAGTATGGCTCAGCCAGTCTGCCTACCCAGGTGGAGGTGTCAGACTTCCAGCTGCTGCTGCAGGAGGGTCAGCGGGCGGGGGTCCGCACCCAGGAGCTGGAGCAGGTGTACCGGAGGGACGAGAACACCCTCCCCCCCTCCTACTGCCTGAGACCTCCACACAGACCCACCTGCTGCCCTCAGGTGGTCACACTCAACCTCAGAAACACATGATTCATTTTGTGTCTTCATTAGGATTAAATTAAATTCAGATTTCTGGTTCATTAAAAAAAAAGGGGGGATTACTAGCAGGATTACAATGGAGCAATGAATACAGAACAATCATTTGAAGCACATTACACAGTCTACACAGTCTACACAGTCTACACAGTATCATCCTAACCTATAAGTATTGCATGTGATCATATTTTAGATATCATTTACCTTGATTAATAACCTTTCTATATTTTCTAAACATTTGTTACTACAACTGTTAGACTGTGGGGCTGTTCCTATCTGTGTGTTGTTCAGGAGGTGGAGGCAAAGGAGGAAGAGGAGACTCCAATGAAGGCAGAGGAAGAGTTAAGGAAGGTGTTTCAGACTATTGTCAGTCTGTGTGTTCACAACGGTGTTATGAGCCCAAAGACAGCCAATAGCTACTGCAGATCAGGTGAGATATAATGTACGTCAGTGTCGGAGTTTTTCTGGATGTTGAGATATCATTTAATATGTGCTTTGCTGCTTCTCTACAGCCCTCGATGCAGATCTGAGGTTTGCTCTGGACACCCGTCCTGATAATGAGATCATCAGACGCTGCCTGGTTTATGTCCACAAGGTCATCAATGCAAAAGGAGAGACAAAGAAGAGCTGTATGAAGTCACCTCCTCAGCAGCAGTCAGAGGTGAGTGTCATTATTGTCTCTGCATTTGTGCAAGAGTATCATAAAACACAGCTTTCATCCACACACATTGCTATACTGTGGGGCAACAGTACATTTCATATGCTTTTTTCCTTATTTTACAAGTTTTGGAAGGAGACATCTTCTCTAACTGCTGATCATGTGGCAGATTTGCCTTTCAGAAACCAAATGTTATCACCATTGTTTTCCAGAAGGAGCAGGTGGGGTCTCTCAGAGATGTTCATAGCCTTGCTGAACTAAATAACAAACAGTTTAAAGGAAAAGTTAACTTATAGATCCCCACTACCATGGACATCAAAGACATCAAGCATTTTGATTCAAGTAAAAGGGTTAGAGATGTGAGTCATGCCCATGTTGACGTGGGGAACTTGCAAAAAAAAAGTGCTCTCTGCCTCTTTCAAGTAAGTAGTACATAGAGAAAGATAAACATGACTTGTGTTATTGAATGCATCAAGATGTGCTTAGAATATCTCTCACGTATGAAGGTACATACATTAGAGTCTGTATTAAAGCTAGAAAATAAATACAGAAATGAATAATAATAACTTTTTCCTTGTGCTTTTTTGTTAGGCTGCTACCTTTGACCTAGGGACAACACCCACTGATGGACAACTATTCTCAGAGCTTTGTGACCACTTCCTGCCTGGTCTCATCGGTTCCTCCCAGCTTCTGGTCTACACCACGGCCACAGAGTGTGACCGTCGACATGGTTACACGACAGCCAGGAGGCGGGGCTATGCTGAGTCTCTGTGCCAACAGGTGTACTGCGACCTTGTGGGTTTGATTGACAGCTGGAACATCTCACACAGCAGCGATGGCTCTCAGCTCAGCGATGCTTTGGCCAGAGAGCAGGCCGAGCAGCAGGAGCTGTGTGACTCACTGTCGAGGTTATATGATGTCATTCGGCCTGAGGAGGAAGAGGTCAGGAGGAGGTCTTTATCTGTTTTCTAAACACAAAATGCAGCATTAACATATTGTATTTGTATGTACTTATTGTGTAGATATAGACACTTCTGTTTTATCTTACCTTTGGCATTGTAAAGGATTAAGAGCTGAGGAGATCTCTTCTCAGTAAAATAACTACTTTACAAATGAGTAAATGACGTGTTATAACCAGTTTAAATGTATTTTGGGGATATTGTTTGGTCTATTTTTCCTGTGAAATTGTGATGTAGACAACATTTTAAGGTGCCATGCATTACAGGAGAGTATTTGTATTTGCTGCAGGTCAGAGCCTATGTGGAGCAGAGTGGACAGCAGCGCCCCCTAGTGGTGACAGGAGGCCCGTGCACAGGAAAGACAGTTCTGATGGCTCAATGTGCTCAACAGGTCAGTGGACTGAAGTGAAATTGGAAACTCACATTAGATTTGAATTCCTGCCAAACCCAATTCATATCCAAAAACAGATCAATTAATTATGAACAGACAATAGAGAACACATATTTATAATTAAGGAGGATGAACACATAGTCATTTAGAGTAGAGTTTTTCATCCTTTTCCAATAATTAAATGTACTTATTGTTTGCTTTAAGTACCCCAAAAATGAAAATAAATAGTCAATTAATCAATAAGTTAGTGACAGAAATGATTTGCAACAATTTTTATAATCAAAAAAGTCATTTTCCGTGAGACAACAAAGCCTATCATTATGAAGTCTTTTATATGAAGTATCAGAAATATAGATGTTATACAGAATACTGTAGTTGGGTTTTGGACTGTTTTATGGACAAAGAGAGACATTTGAATACATTACATTGGGTACAACTTTGAATTGTGATTTTCCGTTATTGACATCAAAACATATATTGATTCATCATGTCGAATAATTGCTTTATTAAATACAATTTAGAGTTAAAGAGAAATGTTTCTTGTAGCTTGAAGCTTTATCAGAATAAATAACCTATGTGGCTAAATCTTAAATTTCAAATAAAATAAATACAACCTAACAAAAACAAAATCTGTACTACATGGTTTGGATAAAAGGTATATACGTGTTTTGTCTCTCTCCACAGATTAAGTCGTGGCTACCAGACTGTGATCCTGTGGTGGTCACTTATTTTTGCCACCTATCAATAAACCAGTCCCCCAAGCACTTGTTATCGAGCCTGTGTTATGAAATTGCCGTGAGATATCACAGCGAATCTTCCTCTGAGCAGAATCCCAACAACTTTGGTGATCCTAGCTGTATCACTCAGCCCTGGGAATACAACACTAACTGTAGCTCATCACCCAACATGTGTGTATCTGAGCTTAAAGAGCGTCTCACATCCCTTCTCTCCTCCATGCCCTCTACCAAACAACCTCTAGTTCTGATCCTTGTTGGCCTGGATCTCATTAAAGGCAACTTTGGACCTGAATTCCTGGACAGCCTCCCCTCCCCTCTTCCTCACAGCGTCAAACTCATCCTCACTGTCTCCTCCAACCAGACACAAGTCCTGCAAGCCTTTAAACCACAAAGAAGTCAGCCTCAGAGAGTGTCAAAGGGTAGTGAGAAGGAGTTGGGATATGTGTGTGTTCCGATGGGACTGGTGGACAGGAAACAGTGTGTGAAGATGCTGGCGACACTTCTGAGCAGTTCAGGGAGGAGGGTGACTTCAGGACAACAGGCGCTGGTGAACCAGGCGCTGACTTCCTGTCGTCTGACTCTCTACGCTCGACTCCTGCACCTACACACCTCGCTCTGGCACTCTGGTACGACTAATGCATTAAACAAACACTCTTTAAGGATAAGAATTGTATATTTGTACTTATAGTCATCAAAGCCCAAGACAATACCAAAACAAGCAATGCATTAATCCGTCTCTGAATATTTTCCTATCTCCCTACCCTGTATGTGGTATTAAGCTTCAAACTCTGTCTTGTTTTATATCTTTGGAAATAGGTAACACATGTAGTTTCATTCTTCTGGATTGTACTGTATTTTATTCAGCACATTTCATGTTTGAAATGCATTATAAGGATTACAGGAATTAAAATGCATTTATTTTCATTTTTATTCAAAAATGTTAACAACATTAATCACAGTGACACACAAAACAAAGTAAGGGACAAACGGGATACAAAAAAAGAGAATAGAAAATAAAATGCTTGAATGCTTTAGGATATTGTATTTTTGTTGCCTTTCAAAAATAATATGATAAAAACAAATGTTATGCTATTAAGTGCAACACAAGTTTTCCAGCCATCACAAATAACATTTTTTAGATTTTTGAATAATAAAAACCGTCTGATTATATTTCTCTCTTTCTGTCCCTTTTAATTCCCTCCTCATCAGATTCAGATGTGACTGAGTCTTCTCTCCCTGATGGCGTCCATTCATCCATTTCTGCATTTCTGGATCACCTGGAGCAGAAGCATGGCCCCTTTATCGTAGCTCGGGCCCTCTCTCTCCTCTCCCTCTCCAGGACGGGGCTCACTGAGGCCGAGCTCGCAGATCTGCTGTTCTGTGATCACAAAGTGCTGACTGCGTACGTTCCACAGGATGGAAGCCGTTCCTGCGATATGAGGGTGCCACAAATTGTTGTGGAGAGACTTCTACTGGATTTGAAGAGCTTCCTCATTAGGAGGACAGTTGCAGGGTCACATGTTTTGTCCTGGGTAAGCAGGCATTTCAAGCTGGTGGTGGCTAAGAGATATTTAGGCTCTCAAGAGGTGAGGAAGGAGATTCATTTGGCATTGGCGGACTATTTTAGTGGCAGATTGTCTTGTGGGGGTGCAAAACCACTTCTTGTAAAGCAGAAATCTGCACCAAACAGGATCTCAGGGAAAATGGGAATACACATTGACAGGCAGCCATGCAGCCAGCCGTTTGTCTTTCCCCTTTCTAACAAAAACAATGGCCGGGTGAACTTGAGGAAGGTCTTAGAATTGCCCTACCACTTGCAAAAAAGCAGCAAATGGGGGGAGTTGGAGCACGGGCTGTTAATGTCTTTGAGGTTTCACCAGGCTATGGTTCAAGCAGGACTCCTGGGAGATTTGGTAGCCATGTTAGAGGATGAGGAGGGGTCACACCACTTCAGTTTATTAAGGGAAAGAGCACTTCTAGCAAGCATATTGAAGTCTGGTGCTTGCTTGTTGCAGAGCTCCCCCCTTCAGCTGCCGTCAGTGATGGAGACGAGCCTCCTCCCTTACCTGGAGGTGTTTCCTGCCCTCGAAGGTTATGTCGGTAAGATGAGACAGGAGAGGAGGGACAGAGGAACAGGATTAGGAGTAGCGCTTTTCCCTTCTCCTTCATCTGTTCCCTCCATTCAGTGTTTGAAGCGTGATGCCAAAACTGAGGGTGTCTCTGTTAGAGAAGCAGCTGGGACAGAGAGTGGGATAGTCACAGAGATCATGGATGATGGAGAGGCTTGGGTTCGGAAAGGCTCTGGGTGTGAGATAGTCAAACTATCACTGAGCTGCGAGCAGAAGGAGATGAAGTTTGCAGGCGTGAAGAGCAGTGGTCATTTCCTGCTGCTTTCAACACAATGCAACAAGCTTTTCCTGTGGGATGTGTCTGGCCCAGAAATGTTTCTGCAGGTTGAAGACCCTTTGAAAACAACAGTGAACGAGGTTGAAGGATTTGTTGCTGGTCAGAAAAAAATATTTCTCTGGTGGAAAGATGAGTGTTTTGTGAGTGTGTTTGACGTCTCCAGTGAGATTTTGACTCATTTCCAGTGTCAGAGCTGTGTGACCTGCTCGGTTTGCTCCTCTAATGGCTTTTACATGTACTGTGGGCAGGAGGAAGGCACAGTCTCCATTTTTGACACCAACACTGGCAGCCTCCTAGGCAGTTGTTCAAACTCAAACCACAATGCGGTTGCATTGATAATCCTGTGTGAAGAAATGTGGGAAATGGCTTGTGTTGACAGGACAGGGGGTGTATCACTATGGGATGTAGCAGCCAAAAGAAACCCACCAAGACTTGTCACAGAAAGCTTTACTGGGGGTAAATCTAATGCCATCCTTAATATGGATTACTCACATGAAATCCACACATTACTGGTGTGTCAATCCCACCAAGTTGCACTGTGGGATACCTGTGACTGGGAGCTGTGGGACCAGTTCCTTGCTCCGCAGGGGAAGGCATTCACTCAAGCTGTACTATCCCAGGATGGCCACCTTGTCCTGGCTTTGTTAGACGCCTGTCCCCTGGTGTTGGTGTGGAGGGTCAGCACAGGGGAGTGTGTTCTCTCCTTAAAAGTAAACAACCAGCCTTGTAAACTCATCAAAACGGCCTCAGATGTTGTTTGTGTCACTCTTGATGGTGTCTTGACAGTGTGGGACTCCGGGATGATAGATGTTGCAGGTACAGCTCCGAAAATGGGGTGTGGAGTAAAAGAAGTGGTGGTTGAACAGACAGGAGAGTGGTTCTACACCTCTGATGGGTCGGAGACCGTGTGGAGATGGAGATTAGAAACAGGACTTCCACACGATAACTTCCTTCATGATGGTCCTGTAGAAAAACTGCGCCTTTCCCCAAATAACTTCCATCTTGTCACACTCTCAGCAGGGGAAATATACGTTTGGCTCACAGAAACAGGGCAGAACATCCTGCGTATGAGTGGCAGCAGAGCCACAGACATCCTGATCACCCCCAACAGTAACTTTGGGGTCAGTATTTCTAAACGGGGGTTGTCTCGGGTTTGGAAGCTGGCACACGGGAGCATTGTGTGCAGCATAAACTCGTACCTATCTGACGCCCAGGTGTCTCCTGAGAGCACCTTCCTTATTGGCCTTCGACGGAGAGACCTGTTAGCTGCCAGTCTGTGGTCGGGCTCCATCAGCAAGCGCTTCTCCTGCATAGAGAGCTCTGAGCATGTTGTTGCTTTCCACACACTTTCAGACCATCCAGACTTTGTGGTGGTGATGGCAGCTTCAGGGGCAGTGTACACCTGGAAGGTAACAGAGGAGACCCTGTGCAGGCACTTCCAGCTGCCTTATAGCTTTCACTGTCAGCCACAAGACTTCCAAATGTCCCGTGATGGGAGCTACGCCCTGCTATCTACTGACGATGAAGCCATCAACCTCTTAGACTTATCTCAGATCAGACTGTGCTCATTCAAGGCTGAGGGTCCTGTCGTTAAAGCTTGTTTGGATAAAACTGGATGCTATGCTGCCTACATATCTCAACCCAGCACCACTGTGGAGAAAAACTGCGGCTGCTACATGCACGCCAGGCCAGTCCTCGCGGTTGTACGACTCGCAGACGGGGAAAGAATAGGAAGTGTGTGTCTGGCTAAGAATCCGTTGACTCTGGTTGTGTGTGAGCGGCAGTTTGTGTTTGTGGGATTTGAGGACGGGTCTGTAGGCGTGTATTCAATTGTAGATGTTGAGGTCACTGGGGAGGAGTTTGTTGGGTGTAGGGAGAATTTGAATGGTTGTTTTAAACAATGCCCCTTTGACACAGCATTAAGCAGGTTACCACTACCAACCCCCAATATTACATGGCCTTAAGATTAATAGCTTTGTAAAGATGTTATGTTTTGGTTCCGTTTGTTTGTTTTTCAGCAGGACTGCTGCACAAACCCAACTTGTATGAAACGTGGGTGAAACATGGGCCAAAGAAGAAGCCATTACATTTTTTTTGTAAAGATTGAAATATAGAACATCTGGCCTTTTATGGATTTCTTCACTCCACACCGTTGATGTTGTTGGACTGTGTTTTTATATACATTTATTTATATTACTAATGTGATGGCAAACAAACTGATTGTGTGTATACAGTATGTGTATACTTAAAACAAGTACAGGTGCCACACTTCTTGGGAACCTTGGCAGCATTGTTTCAGTTTCAGCTGGTCTGAGCCAATAATGATGACTTCTCCCAGCATTTAAGTTTCATTTCTGTGAAAACTAAACCAAACAGGGGTCAGTTTAATTCATATCTACTATAATGTTGACAAATGTCTATGTTTTAATAAAATCATTTGTAATGAATGCCTTGTTTATATCTCTGTTTGTGTATTTAAAAGGTCCACATTTTTGTCAGATAAAAAAGTACACAAGAACCTATTCAATTCGGTAGGAACACCCTAAAAATAAATTAAAAAAAACACCTGTACCTTATGCAGATATACCTAGTTATATTTTGCCACATTATGTTGCAGCATTTCGGTCAACACGACTTTTAAAAGATAAGAGATCTCTTCTTGTAACAGGTGTCTCTCATGCTGCCTTCCCTGCTTATTGGCAGGCTCGTAAATTAGAAAACTTATATCGTGGTTTCTATTAGATTGTCTTTTGCTTGCTTTGTTGGAGAATAAATGACACACTGAAGCTAGTTATAGCCTTAGTTATCGTGCTAGACTTTTTAAGCAGACATATTACTCAATTATGCAACACCCGCAGAAAGAGAAGCACAAGTGCATATTTACTATAGTGATACTGATAATTCCGACAGCACTTGAAGGCAGCATCAGTGGGGATAAATTGCAGGCGCAGATGCTGCAGACTAGTGATGGGAATTATGGCTCTTTGAAGGGAGCCGGATCTTATGGCTCCGTTCCTTTCAAAGAGCCGTTCAAAAGAGCCGTTTTTTAAAAGGGGGCGGGGTTACTAGGTTTATCTGCGAAATAATCACAAGGATAATGATTGACTGTATTGCCAGACCTAATGTCAATAATCGGCATTGTAAACATGACACAAGGTGGCGCCATATCCATGTCATTCATGTCAGTGAATGTACTTTGAATTTACCCTCTGTATGTGTTAAGTAAATAAAGTTGCCTTGCCTTGAATGAAATTCACGCAACTCTTAATATTAGATAGTGTGTTTTTAAGTGGCGATGGAGATTATTTGTTGACCCTGCTTTAAAGGATATTTTGCCTTTACAAATGGTGCGCTTTATCACTGCCTGGGTTTTGGTTGAAGTGAATCCAAATGCTGCTGCGTTTTCGCGTTTGGCTCATTTTCCATCCGAAAAACACGTCGTCTACCTGTCCTGTACCACTTGTTATGACTTCTCTCTCCGTTAAGACCAACCCCATCTCACTCCTCGTGCTGAAACCTACCAATCAGAGTAGGGGCGGGTCTTCACAGAATACGTTTGGGGAACAAAATCAAGCTTTTTAAAAGGTGAGTGGATTTTGGCAGGCAGTGAGTGCGGACCAACGATTGAACGATAACAAGAACGGCTCTCACCAAGTACGACTCGGTTCCCCTCGTTCGTACCAAAGAGCCGTTCAAAAGAATCGGCTCGTTCGCGACCGACACATCACTGCTGCAGACAGAGTCCAGGTGGAGATATGATGGTGCAGCTGTACTGTTGGGGAGACAGCTCCAGTGGACAGCTCGGTCCACAGACGGCCCTCAGCCCGGTGTCCTGGTCGGTCCCCGGGGTTATCACCGACATCTCCTGCGGGGACCAGCACACTTTACTGCTCAACGGGGAGGGCGGCGTGTTGTCATGTGGAAACAACTCTCAGGGACAACTTGGACGAAAGAACCGTAAAGATGGGAGAACAACAGGTAGGCTGCAGAATCTCGACATAACAAGAAATATCCATGTAGTAGCCCATAAAATAATAAAAACTTGTTTTGTGTTTTTTATCATGACATTTTTTATCTAAATTGAATATATTTTGAGGATATATGATGAGGAATACAGTATCTGATATATTTGGTTCTTCGTCTTTCAAGACAATTACATTTACTTTATCTTGTGTTTAATCATTATCTTATGAGGCTGCATCGAAATCCATAAATGAACTTGTTGTGCAGCTCATTCAGCTGTGCTACGTTTCAGTTTCGTTTACCCCATGTCAGTGAAGACAACGAAAGTTATGCGTGATGTTCAAGTGCAGGTGGGAAAGTGGAACATTCATTACAGTGATGTATTCGGGTTTGTGGGAATTAGTGGCAGTACAATAATTAAGATAATTTAAATAAAAAAAATACAGTGTAATATAGTCCTGCATTCAAGATGACCTACATTGTAAAAGAATAACATTGCATTAAATGAAATCAGTAAGTAAATGAACTCAACATTTTACATTTAAGGCAATGTAGTTAGTTAGTAGTAGCCTACTTTCCACCATTTTTTTACGAGCATTGTCACTTTTTCTTATGTATAGTTGATAGCACGTTTGGAACCGTTTTGCTTGATTTGTTTAGTATTAGATGGGCAATATTGTTATTCCAAATATGATATGTTATCCTCTTTTCTGTCCCCCTGTATAAGGTCGTGTGGAGGGGCTGGGCGATGTGGTGGCCATAGCTTGTGGTCAGGACCATTGTCTGGCTGTGTGTGCATCTGGAAAGGTGTTCTCCTGGGGGGCAGGAGAGGACGGACAGAGAGGCCTTTTACCAAATCTACTCCACAACAGACCAAGGTAAGATCTCACACTAAGCAGCAATATATGAATATGTATACTTTGCACTGAAAGTAGGCATAGGTTTCATCATTTTTACTTTCTATTGTCTCGTCAACATGCAGTCATGTGCAGATGCCACTGCCAATACCTGTGATTCAAGTTGCTTGTGGAAACTCCCACTCTCTGGCTCTGACTAAAGGTATGACAATGCACATACTGATGCTATCTTTCTGATATGATATGCAACAGTCACAGTGTTTGTTCCACAGTTTGTTATATTTAGTTATGTGTAATGTCGTAATGATTTGATTTAGATCTTAATGTCAATTTATCACTGTGCCAGTTTCCCTATTCCCCAGTGCCAATTTAGTGCAAAGTAAATGTTCTTGTTGAAGCTTAAGGAAGATAAAGGTGCAACACAATTCAGAAAACAGGAAATGTTGAATGTAAAAAAATGTTTTCATTATTAAATCAAAAGGTTAATCCAAATAGGAAAACATATTAATTTGACTTTAGCTTCTGAACAATTTTAGTGTGTTGTAAACTAAATAACTCTTCACTTTTCAGGAGGCAATGTCTTCTCGTGGGGTTCGAACAGTCATGGTCAGCTAGGCCTGGGGAAGGAGGTGTCGCTGCAGTTTGTACCTGACCTGGTGCGCGCTCTGACCGGCGTAGCGGTTACCCAGGTTACGGCCGGAGCGACCCACTCCCTGTTCCTCACACTCCCAGGCCTGGTGTACTGCTGCGGGGCCAATAAATCTGGCCAGCTGGGTCTCAACAGGGTGGATGAGAAGGGTAACAATTGTGTACTTAAATTGTGTCAGCAAGCAGCAAATTGTCCATGCAAGTGAGGGCTTTTGTCATTTTTAGGCCAATTCTACACAATCTGGACCACCTACAGAAAAGGAGAGGGAAACATAACATTTTACACTCACACCCAAGACATACTGCCCGTGTAAGCAGTGTGTTACAGCCACCTCGCTGAACACCTGTCGCATGCTTGTAGTGTCCACACAGAGGCATTAATGGGCTGCTCCTACTGTATCAGCCCCTCTACATTGTGTTTGACTTTCATAATGGCCATAAATAATAGAGTTAGAAATGTGTATTCCTTTGTAAATAATAGTTCTCGCCCATTAAAAGCCGGTATTCTTTTCATTTTTGAGTCACTGCACTTTCCACAACCTTAGCCTGGTAACATTTCAGAATAAAAGCCTTGTGTTAACACATGTAGGAATTCTGTCCAGAGAAAAAAAAAGACTCGACGGCTTTAATAAAAATGTTTTTAAATTGTACAGACCATCATAGCTTGTATGTATAATCATTATTCTATTTTTAATCATATTTATCAGGCAGGTTCAACATCTGCATGGTACCCCGCCCTCAGACCTCTGGGTGTCTCCTTCATAAGCTGTGGAGAAGCACACTCTGCTGTGTTAACTAAGGTACTAAATCTTCTGATTTCAACCAGTCATTAATTACATTGTAAACATAATACAAATATTAGGATGTTGCTTATTTTTGATATGATGTGACGCTGTGATTTCTAGGACGGCAAGGTTTTCACTTTTGGAGAGGGAAGCTACGGTCAGCTGGGTCACAACTCCTCTAATAATGAAGTGAAACCCAGACTGGTGGACGCTTTGGATGGACCTGCATCACACATTTCCTGTGGCAGGTGAAAACAGTGTTTTCATTTAAGAAAGGCTTAATGTATTGTGGCGTTTTAGAGTGACTAGCTCATTACATTTACAATAAAAAGGACACCTATTGCACATCTATCCATCCTGGGAGAGGGATCCCTCCTCTGTTACTCCTCCCTCTCCCTGAGACAAACTTTACATTTGATGTGTACAGCTATATAAATATAATTGGATTTATTGATTTACAGATTTACAATCACAATTGTTTTTGTCCCCCAGACGTCATACACTGGTTTTGTCCTCCTCTGGCCAGCTGTGGGCTTTTGGTGATGGGGCCAAAGGTCAAATTGGGACAGGACGAACAGAAAATAGTCTGACTCCCACTCTGGTATCTCTTCCATGGACCACTGAAAGTGTGGCAGCCGTCCCCAAGGGTGTGTATGTACAGTATGGCCAGGGTGGTGTTTAGTAGATTTGTAAGTGCATTAATATAGCAACATACAACTATTTGCTTTGTGAAGGCATATTGGAGAAATAGTATCCTTAGCAGAGAATATAAGTCTAGTTAGCAGCAGTTATAATCAATGTCCTTTTTATGGTAGAAGTAGTGTAAAACTAAAAGAGATAAATTAAATATACAAATGTATTTTTTCCTGGTTTAAGCAGACTTGAAAATATCAGCTGGGTGGAATACAAGCTGTACCTACACTTCACCTCCACAGGTAATATTTTCAGAGACTCACTGTGCATATTGCATGCATAATTTCTATAGGTAGAGATTTGATCTTAACTGTTAAGTCTGATGCCCTTATATGGTTTTAGTGGGGCTTTCCCCCTTATGCTGAATGAAAATTGCTAGGCAAACGCATCAAAAAATGTAAGATCAAACGCAATTCATCAACCTACTCAAGATGGAACAGATTTGGCTGTCAGAGCATGTTGTGTGAATCCCATGTAGGATTTTCTTATTTTCATCTTATTGC